ATAATTTTTAAAAGTAAAAAATCGATATAAGAGTAGTTAATTAGATAGAATCGTTCTTATTTAATAAAATAATAGTACTAAAAATAAGCGAATACTTTATATTAAAGACTTTTATAGTAATCGAAATTCCTTAAGAATCACCGCTATCGTTTATACTCTATCTCTTCTATAACTTAGATCTCATTAATAAATATAATAATTACGTCGACTTAGAAATAATAGCTATTAACTTTATAGATAATACTATAGATCTTCTAATAATAAAAGACTTTATCGAGAAAAACTATATCGCTCTTTATAAAATCTATAACGAGGTTTATATAAAGTAGGCGATATAATATAAATTAGAGTTCGATTTTAATAAATATTAATTATTATATCTTAATAGAAAATAGAGATTTAGCTTAGATTATTCTCTATAACTTAATAAAAGATAATATATTAAGGCGAGACGATTTATTTACTATCTAGAAATCGAAATTAACTTTAAACTTCTATAAAGCTATTATAATAAGAAGATTCGATCTAAAGCTATTAAAAGTATTAATATATTAGCGAGAATTACTAAATTAACGTAGAGTAATAATTATAAGAGTATAAGATAGCTCTATTAGATAGTAATTATCTTATAAATAATATATTACTACTTAGTATAATATTAGCTTAAAAATATTATTAATTATAATAAAACTTATTTCTTATTATTATAAAGAATTTAATTCTAGATAAAAAGAAAGATAATTAAAGTATTTAAGATTATATCTATTTTAGTACTTAATATAAAAATATATCTCTTATTAGTTAAATAATAGCTAGATAAGATTATCTTAAAAGTTATTTTATAAATCGCTATTAATCTAATATATAGCGAGATTATTAAGCTATAATTTAAGCGATAAAAATTTAAAAGAAAATCTAAAAAGAATAGAAAACTAAGTTTATTAAAGCGATATATTAATAGATTCGAAGAATAATATAGTAATATTAATAAGATTAAGAAATTATACTCTTTTAGCGTCGCTTTTAATTAAAAGTCTTTTAAAATAATAATTTATAAGATTAAGAAAGTCGTTAAAGAATTAGCTAAAAGATTAATTAATAAAAAATATATAATAATATATATAGATAATAGTAGGATTAATAAAAAGATAAGAGTATTAGCTATATCGTTAGATATTAATTTTATTTTTAATATTTATTTAAACTTAAGCGACTAGTATATAATATATTTAATAAAATTATATAATATTCTTTAAGCTCTAATTATAATAGTTATATATTAAATAAGATTATAACTTAGTAAAATTATAGTAAATATAAATAATTAAATATTAATTTAGACTATCGAAGATCTAGATAAATATTTAAAATAGATCTATATAATATAAATAGTATAGATTATTAATTTACTAAGATATCTTAAAGTAGTAATAGAATTATATTAGATTTTAATATATATTGATATTAATAATAATAAATAGGCGGATAGAGAGACGAAGAAGATTATTAGTTAGCGAGAGTAAGTAATTTATAATAAAAGAGTAAAGGTAAATACTAATGAAATAGCTTAATTATTAATTATATAAATAAGAATAATATCGACAATTAAGATAGCTATTAGAGATTACGCGATAAAATAATAAACTATTAAATAGACTAATAAGAAGCGAGGCGATATTCTTAGAAGAATTTAATTAATATCGTCGAAATAAATATAACTTCTATATTCGAGAGTTAAGCGCGCTAAGACGTCGCTAATAATATAAATAAGAATTAAGAAAATAAGTCTTAAGGTCTTTCTTTATAATCGATAAGTATCGAATATAGAGAATAAAGAATATAAGTATAAAGCGAAGTAAATAGCTTAATATATTTTTTATAAATATAGACTATTTAGTAAGAAGCGAGAAATATAGTAAATCGAAGAAAGAAGAAAGATAAAAGAGAGAGTTATTACTTATAAGAATATGCTAATAAAACTACGCTACGCCTCTATAGCGACGAACTTTATAAGAAATATTAAATTTATTAAATAATATTAAGCTCTTAATAAGAATTAATAATAAGAATTTATTAGAGTAAGCGATTAAAAAGAAGAATACGATTAAGATGAGAGGGCTCTAGCGATATAGAATATATCTCTTTTTAAGAATTAAGTATAGTAAGATATAGAACTATAACGATAACTTATATAGTTTTATTTATTTAAGATTATATGATTAATTAAAAGAATTAAATAGATTACGTAACTCGTATAGTCGGCTACTAGGGTAAGACTTTAGGGTAGTATGATATAATCAATTAATCAATTAAAAATGACCTACCACTCTAAGATAGTAACCAACTACATCATTCTTTCACATTAATATTTGTATGCTAACATGCCCATATGGCAAAGCAGTGTTGGAAGATGCAGCGGCGTGCATTCCAGCGGGTGGCGAGATTGATGGCATCTTGGATGGCTGCCTGCGTTTGAAATGATAGTATGCCTAGCCAACGTCCCTCCTCTACTCCTAAAGATTATGGATCAATTGACGTTCGGTGGGATAGGGTGACAGAGATGGAATGATGATGTCAAAAGAGTGAGGGTGAGTAGCTTGCGAAGTTGGGCGAATTACATTTTCATACCCCAAACTATGGGATTCTTACAAATTCATACCCCATCTTACATTTTCATACCCCAATGGGGTATGAATTTGTAAGATACCATTGACAGGGGTATGATTTTGTAAGATACCATTTATAGGGGTATGATTTTGTAAGTTGCCATCTATTGGCGGGTTGGTGTTAGGAATTATTCCTCCGGGGGCCCTGCGGGGCTCCTTAGGGGTGTCTGCAGCGTGAAGTGTAAACACCCCTATTTAACCACTTAGCGGTAACTCGGGTTACTAACAATTGGGGTAGATAGCCTGAAACACCCTAAAATACCCTTCTAATGATAGTGTCTCTGCGCTTGACAGCCAGACACTCCTATTTGGACCTAAATAGGGCCCCGTAGGGCTCCCGTAGGGACGTCGCAGGGCCCCCGTGAGGGCTGCTGCTAACATGGTATCTTACATTTTCATACCCCAAGAAATGGTAACTTACAAATTCATACCCCAAAGACTGGCAACTTACAAATTCATACCCCATTTTTTTGGTGAGGGGTATGAAAATGTAAGATGGGGTATGAATTTGTAAGAATCCCATAGTTTGGGGTATGAATTTGTAATTTGCTGCAGCAGCGCTAGCTCAAGATGCCGATCTAAAGCATAGTTAGTCACTTCTCTCAACATCTTAAATACCGTGCATTCTCTTCTTCTTCCAGTCGTACTTTTACCCTCAAAGCGAGTTTCAATATCGTAGTATTCTACATTGTAACAGATTCATTAGTAACTACTATGCCACACACCATCGCCGAGCTGATGTCCGTACGGCAGCCAACTCCCAATCTTATTGAATTTGTTTACATTGTACACCCTGGAAAAGATGTGCAACATGGCTGATCAAACTTATGGCGGAAACAGCCTCGCGGTAGCTGGTACAACGTGGTTTCTCACGACTCCGTTCCCAGAATTCTTTACCTCGACTACCGCTGAACTACACCTGATGTACCGCAGCCTCTGTCTACATCTCCTCTTTCTGCGCTGTCCCTTTAACAGTACAACCCATATCGCTAACACGCAACTGAACCAGAAAATCCATCGACGCAAACGTCAACGCGAAGAGAATTCACCATGCAGCCGCACACGCCACGAAGCCAAACGCCCGGCCGCACTCAAACACTTGCCCGCAACAGCCGCGGCTACCTTAGCCGTCTGCTAGAATGTGGCGGAGACGATGATGAGGGCCCACCCTACGACCGCGAGGCAGATATTGGTGCGGAGACAGCAGATGGCGAATATGGGGGGACAGGAAGCCGATGGTCAGGAGGAGGAAGGCGAATGACGCAGCGATTGCGGTCGAATTTGTCAAGCCGGCCGATGGGTCCATCTCGCTGTATGAGGTCGAGTGTTGCCCTTTGTACTTTTCAAAAGAGGCAAAGAGACCTTTGATTTCTCTAAAGAGTTTTTGAAAAGGCGCCGATGGAGGGCGTGAGGATTGAGGAGAAAGGAAGCCAAAAACCGCCTGCAAAGTGCCCCCAGTACGGGTTCTCATACATCAGCCATGGTAGTTTGAATTCGATACATACTCACCGTGGGCGCAGAAGACCAAGAAGGGAAACGTATTGCCCAACACCCAAGAATCCTGGGATCTTCGCATCGCCATGTCCTGCCCGACACCTGGAGTAGGTAGGCAGAGCAATCACGAACAGACGGTTCATGCATCTGTACGATCTTCCTAAAGAAAGTCGCGAATGGTCAATTACCTTACATACATCTCACAATAATAGGCGCGTGTCTGTTGCCGGGCTCACTGACGGCAGCACGCAGTGCAGATCTTCATTTGCACTTGCATGTATGCCTTCGGCAATAGGGAATTCACTCACTGTCTTCTCTTCTACCATCGATGAGGAGGAGTGTTCTGGGGAAGTTTTGAGGGAGATGGCACATGTCATTGTGCATACATATCTTGCATCAGTGGGAGCTTGTTGCGTATCAAGCCCTGTTTTGATAGGTAGTCCACTTCAGAGGCTGTCGACCGAACGTCAAATGAACTCGTTGCTTTTAACACAGCACAATACTAGAATAAAGCGACCTAGAAAAGGAAAAAATGTACATTTCGCAATTGTTTTTATTCAGGCAGATCTGAAAATTTATAGCATGAAATGTCGATTGTAAGCCTTGTTGATCAATGTTTATTGCGTTGCAAAGAAAGCAACTGTTTTGATGTCCTGCCAAGAGAATGTACTACCAATGTGCCAAAATACAAAATATTTGCCAAGATATGGAATACAGACAGCACCTACACTCTCCCACCTCTTCCTCCCCTACTCTCCTCCCATCTATATATAAGCATACCTCTATCATCAGCAACCATCCAAAAGCCAGTCTCCGTACCGGGTCGCAACCCCTCTCGGCTCAGATAATCGAATTCACCAAGTCCGAGCCTGCCGTCGCTCCGGCGCCGAAGATGGCCGCGTTGCCGAGCTTCTCCCCGAGCTTCTTGGCCCATGCTCCGTGCTGTAGGTACATGATATCTGATTAGCCTCCCTCAAAGCTTTGCTTCGCACGTTGTTGAAAAAAAGGATGTCGCCCTTGTGTATATATAGATATACTCACCTTGGGATGCTGTGGGTTGGCAGGATGATTCGGGTCCTGCGTTGCCTGCGCGAGCTGCGGCATGTTGACGTAGTTGTTGGCGCCTTGCGCGTAGCGCGGATCGATGTAGCTACTTGGGATACCGCCGGGTTGCTGTACTAGCTGTTAGAGAGCATGAAGCTTGGGGTTTTGAAAGCATGGAAGATGTGTACGTACGGGAAGCTGGCTCATGATGGATTGGAATTGCATAGGGTTCAGCAGGCCGGATTCGCGGAGGAATTCTAGCTCCGTGCGGATGGTGCTGAGGGAGCGGTTCGCAGCTGCTGGTTCAATGGCGCCCATTTTCGTTGCGGTGTTCGTGGATAGTATATATATAGTTTTGTATTTTTAGTCGTGTATATGGTCGTGTATATATATTTGTATGCAGATATAGATATATATGTATAAGTGTATATATGTATGTAGTCGTGTATATAGTTATGTATATAATTGTACAGTTGAAAGGGCCTGCTGGCCTCTTGCTTGATGACGAAACAAGGGAATCCAATGACGGGGAACGCCATGTTCGATGACATCAAGCTTTGGGGGGTGGGGAGTGTGCGTTGATTGGCCAATGCACGCAGCTGACGCAACCACTGCCAAGGCCGCTCAGGACGGACCCAGAGTCTTGCTTTTACTTTAGGTGGTGGATTTTCTTGTTTTTAGCGACAACAAGTTCAATTCTTGTCCTCCGGGCAGAAAGCATTATGGTCCTGGCTTAAGTCGCAGAACAATCAGAGACTAGGTACAACAAGACTTGTCAATTAGGGTAACGGCCTTTGGATGTTCCTGATACTTCAGTCATGGTTGCGCAGTAATTGTCATTTGATCCCTGTGACAGTATTCTGACAGTAACGTGGTGACAGGGGCCTGTTACACAGATGACAGCGCTAGCCTGGACTGGTTACTCAACCAACCTCGAGGACTAGCACTTGTTAGATCCATGACCCTGTCTGATCTTGGTGAGTCGTTTCATTGGTGTCCTCTCTTTACCAAATCCGACTAAAACAAGATTCGCGAGCCAGAAACCCTGTTTTGACCCATTAGTCTCAGCCCTATCTGATCGAGTACCTGAAGCAAGTTCCACATGCCAAGACGCCAAGATCTCTAGCGTCAAGATGTCGGATAATATTCCACCCAGAGAGTTGCCTAGAGAATACATTTAGATCTACTTCGGAACTGCACCTTTTCAAACCTCTACCACACTGTAACAGCACATTGTTCACATGGCGACGGCTCCCTCTCAGCTTCAGAATCGACTCGCTCTGGTGTCTTCGCTCTATGGACCTGGGACGATCACCTGTTGGTACCTCACGGCTTTATCTGTCCTAGTATCATGGACACTGCATCCAAGGAAGCGAAAGTCTGGGTCTATTGATGTGGATCTTATTGCGGTTTTAACCCTTCCCGCGGTCGCTGCAGGTCATCTGGTCGCACAGGCCCGAAAGTTTTCGAACCAAGACAACCATGCGCAGACAACCAGCAGTGCCGATTGGAAGTATCTACAGTCTATTGCAGCAATCGAAGCACCGTTCAATGTCACCGAGACCTTCATGGCGATCAGCGTCATCCTGTTCATAGTCGCTGCGTGGATGGTTTGTATTCGGAGAGCGATCTTCGTTGCCTTGGTTGGACTTCTGTGCTTTGCTGTCGAGTGCTATATCCACTTCTCCAGATTCATGGACCTTGGCCTTCGATACGAGCCAAGGGTGTCAGCAGGCGACTACCCTGCCTTCAGTCGATTATTCGTTGCAGACTTCGCCGGTCTGGTAGTAGCTATCTTAGTGACACTGTCTATTTGTGGCCTGATCAGTGCTGCAATCGCCTTTTCCATGCTGGTCCCACCCAGGACACCATCCTCACGTTCACGACAAGATATTGAAAGAGTCAACGAAGCAGCTCTGAGGGAAGGAATATCTTTCCGATTCGGGAGTTCTGCGGCTGAAGGCACGCCCAGCACTCAAACGACACATGGCACACCATTGGCTGAGAAGTCCGAAGACCTTCACTTGCGTGCAATCACGATGGTGACCACATTGTTCCTCCCCCTGACATTCATTCTATCCTTGCTGCCTTCATATTGGCACAGCACTATGTACTATAATGTCACATCTACTACGACGTCGTTCTGGCAGACGCTCGACCGGTATGCAACTCGACTTGGACGAGACTTCTTCCCGCGCACTGCATGCTCTATTACGGATCTTGATCAAGTAGTAGCAGCAGCCGCAGGGTCCACAGTGCTAGGATTCAACGTTTACAGTGTCGCAAAAGCATACTACAAGATGTGGACTGTTAGAAGGATACCACCTTCAGAAACGACTGGCATTGAATTGAGCAGAGTCGACAATCATTCTGCACCATAGAAGTCTCTATGCCTAGGCAAAGGAAGTAGTTCGATCAGTACCGGTGCTCTCACGACCTAACAAAGCTGGTACAACATTGATGGCTAATCACTACTTTACAGCACATGTACTAGAATCATGTTGTGATTAGCCGTAGGCGCAACGACTCCACACGCGGGTGACAGACATATCCGCACACCCTAAAATTGGAAAGTCGATGATAATTTCACAACCAAGAATCCTAGCTGAAGATTCTTGCGAGTTAAATTTGAGGACCTCATCAATACAAGTAGACCGCTCCGCAAAAGTTTATCCTTGAAGAGAATAATCGTCGAGTTGTCTCAGCTGACAAGGTGGAGAGACTTCTTGGCGTGTGCGGATAGTTATTTCTGTCACCCGCGTGCTCCACAGGGAAAAATTTGACCTTAAAATTAAGGTCCTTCTCTGTTAGACTTGGATGGGCGGCAGCAGCAACGAAACCGGTGATAATCATCAATCCAGCGGTTGCTATGATATAGAGCCAATCAATGAATGGCTCTACCGACCCCTTTTCATGATTTAGCGGTCTCATTCTCAGCCCAAGATATTGGACTCGGACCGTCTCTATGCTGCAGATACACGAAAGGAGATGGATGGGTGAAGGGAGCTGTGATTGGCGCGCATCGTCTCTCACCTTCCACATATCTGGCACCCGGAGGACGCAGCCTCAGTGGTGCTTACATGCTGTGGGACAGGTTCCTTTGTATCCTCTCATCGAACAACAACAACCCCCCAAGTCTTACTTTAGAGCCCTGAACTTCGGCCAATGTCCCGACCATTGGGGCACAATTTTGCTTACTTAAGTGCCAAGACCCACCCCGCTTATCATTGTGCGGTATTATTGTGCCTCGATAGGCCTACCGGAGACTAGAGACGAGGCTGAGGTCTAGTAATCGCAACGTCTTGAGGTAACGTTGATACGTAGGTTTTGCTGTCATCGCAGCGATGTGGATGGAATCCTTCATGCCTTCTCCGCGTGATTGCATAAAACAAGGCCGATCAAGCAAGCGACCTTGACTTACCTCGTACACTAAGCGCACAGCAACTTGCAACCTTACCCTGCGCGGTCCACTGGTTCCCTTGATCCGCAAAACCTCCCCATGGCGCCCGTACAATCGACAGAGCACTTATGTGTCATGTCATGCCAATATAATCCTACGACTTATCTTTCTGAGGGTGGGAATTGATAGCTAAATGATATCGGCTATGTGCGAGTCATGCATGCTGCATGCACCTCGCCATTGTGCGAGCCGATCAATCCACGCAAGGCTACGTTTCGCCCGGGAGTCAAGTTAAGTCAGCATCTATGTCTTGAGGGGGGGAGCAGAGACGAGGCTATGAATGATTGAAAGCTTCCCCAAGTCAGTAAGGTTTTCAAATGATCATTCTGGTCCTGATCTCTTGTGCTTCAGCTCTATAGATCATTCATATTGTTAAAAGAAATCCCGGTTTTACATTTGTACAGTTTGGGTCTCTGAGTATTAGTGCAAATTGGGACTCAAAACAGATCAGCATATCTTGAGGGCCAAGTTGGCAGTCTGAGCCCTACTTGCATCGAACACTTGGCATGAGTCAAGAGCCAGTACTTCAGGAGTGGCACATAACGCTCTCTTCATGCACTTTGGGGACACCATGTCCCTAGTGTCCTTCCTAATCACGTTTTACATGCAGATTTTCGCCCCTTTTGGCTGTATCATCGTTACATTCCTAATGCGAGTTTATCAATGCCACTCCAATTTTCTTTCCATCTTGTCCACTTCAACCCTGGCAGGTATTACTTATAATGGCACTCAGTCACCTATCGCGAGTTCCATTCCATCTGGGCCCAAACCCCAAAAACACATTCCAGACAGCCCCGACCACAAATGGCCTCTGCGAACGGAACAGGTTTGGCCCCTCCGCCAGGAGTAACGCCGGATTTTACTAGTCCATTCACCCTGCAGCCATACCAGGCCCTTACAGTGGTCGCATGTATTATAGTGACCACGGTTATGGTGGCGGCTCGCTTATATACTGTAAGTAATTTCCCCAATCTTTTACTCCCTATTCCATACCTTGGTTTGAGTTGCCAGAACAGTTGCGGGAGTATATTGATTCCCGTAATTGTATGACTCAAATTTTGATCCTCAAAAGAAAATCATTGACTGGAGAACTTGCAGAAGATCTATGTCGTGAAAGCTCTGAAATGGGAAGATTGTTAGGAAGCCCCACAGGGAGTTCGAACCGGGAAAAGTGCCTTTGCTGACGTCGGCCAGATACGTGTGTTTTGGGTTGGGTAGAATTGCCCTTTGCAAGCTTTTGTTGCTGGGTCTGCCCAGGCACGAGTCGCTAACCCGCCACTCCAGGCGAGCTTCATGGTCTTCCTGTCCATTGAATTCTCTATTGGTAGGCACGGTGGCGGTACCCATCAATGGGACCTGTCATACAAAGATGTCCAGTACAATCGGCGAGTAAGTCCTCCAAATCTCGTATGCCTGTCTCATGCGCAATAAGATTATCTGAATAGATCCTAGTACTCCAACTACGGAGACATAATCTACAGCCTGGCGTTGTTCTTCACAAAGCTCTCGATCATGCTGCTCATTCTCCGAATCTTCTGTTCAGTGCAGCGAGACGTAGGCTACCGGCTAACCCAATTCCTCATCGCGGTGAACGGCATCTTTTACATCGTTTACGCTTTCATCCCCATCTTTCTGTGTTTTCCACGCAGCAAGATTTGGAGCCCGGAAGCAGCTGGGCACTGTCTCGACGTCAACGACCTGTATCTTGCCTCCGCCATTTTCAACGTACTTTCGGATATAGCGATGCTGAGCCTGCCAATCTATCTGATTTGGAACTTGCAAATGTCGACGCGGCGCAAGATCGGACTGTCTGCTATTTTCCTGACCGGCGGGCTGTGAGTCTGCCCTTGTTCAAATGGTTCGGCAGCTAATTTGATATCCCTTAGGGCCTGCATTGCCAGCATACTACGCTTGATCTATCTCGTCCCCCTCACCCGCACCAAAGACTACACCTATACTAAGATCAAGTCTATTCTATGGGTGTAAGCGTATTTTCCAAATTTCAGCCTGTTTGTCTGCTGATCGAACAACAGAGACGCGGAGATCGCCTGCGGCCTGCTTTGCAGCTGCCTCGTCGTATTGCCTCGTCTCTATCAACACCTCAGCTCCGTCGCCCCGAATGGCCGTAATGGCGGCTTGACGCACGGCATGGCCGATCAATCCACCAGGGTCAATGCCCCAAGTCGGAGATTGAGAAGTCAATGGGTTCATCTGGACGGAATGGGTTCGCCCCAGAGTCCTACTCAGGCTCACAAAGTAGGGCGCAATGGTACCGACGAGGAAGCGCTTGAGAATGCGGTTGAAGGGTATTGAAGGATAGAAGGGTGATGTTGAGAAAGGCTTTTCAGATCACTGGTAAGTGGAGTTTGGGAAAGATTATACGAGTTCAGGGATTCGGCGATATGCTCTGTCTCAGATATGAGTCCTTCTACTTGTCGTGAAAAGGGTTTCCGATTTATTTGCGAACCTTGAATCTTAACAGCATGACCGTCTTATTCTCTGACCGTGCTTTATATCGGCTACGGTTCTCAAAGACATACAAGTCACGATACTCACTATCGCAGCTATCATCCATCACTGCTTGATACTTCCAGAGACCGCGATATCGATCCGGAAGATCGTCCGATCATTAAATAGGGCACCCAGATATAGGAAAGAAGTTGCGAGCGGATAGATAACCAGAACATCATCCACGACGCTCTCAAATCTCATTCCCCGGCTCCGCCCAGAACCCTTCACGCAACCCATTCTTCTTCATAACCCCATCTGCCAAGCCAACAATACTCCAACTCTCCAACAATTCCATCCTACCCATCGCAGCATCCGTCTCCCTCTCAGCCCAACCCCTCACCTCCACCGCAACCAACGAGTCCAAACCCAACGACACGACCGATGTCTCTCTGCTCATCTCCTCCGCCGGAACAATGAACACACCCTAGAACCCCCCAACCGGCGCGACTTGCCCAGCTTCGGCTCTTTCGTCGGCGCTTTCTTGAGCCCTGGCTTAGGAGTCAACAGCGTCGCCGCCGCCACTTCGTCCGAATCGCACCGCAGATGAGCAAAGCCCCCGTCGATCGCCGAATGAAAGGCCGGATTCTACGCTTCGCATTGCTCGAAGCTCAATCCGAGCACCCAACGATAGTCCGCATGTCTGTCCATCTCGGCCCTCGATGGCCAATTCCAAAAGCGCTAAGACGTCTGCTTTCGCCAGTGCTTACGTCGTCGCTTGAAATCGCGAGCCGAGCATGCCTCGCCTGACATTTTCGACCTCACTGCCTCTGGGCAGACCCGGTTGCTCTTTCTAACCCTCTGTGAATGTCACCCCGACCACTTACGAACTTCGAAGATAGAGTCTCCGAGTCGCACAAGATATCTACGTAGGGCGCTTATTGTGCCACCAGGAGAGGTTGAGACAGTGTGTGTTGGTTCCTGGTCCAAACCCAGACCAGTTCCACTACCGCGGCGGATCAAAGCTCACTGAGCGCTCAATTACGCCTTCTTTCCCGGTGTCACAGCCGCCCTCCAGTTGCACCTCACTTAGCGGCATTATTTTTAGAGCTTTCGCTACTGCAAACAATAGCTCAACATACCTCTTTATTCTAGAAATCACAGTCACCAATACCCTCTTCCTTGCTTTAACAGCAATTTTGATCTCAGGCTTGCGGCCAACGTCCGAAACGTCAGCTTCACACATTGTCAACCGCGATGACAGAGGTCATCTTTTCAGTTACTACGAGTCCAAGATAGATAGAAAGAGCGTTTTGAGAATATTAGTGCCGATTAACGCCCCATCGGTCGCGTTGAGACCTATACCGCTAGTGTCCAGACGGTTCGGTCTGGAATGATATCTAGGCATCATCGGCCATTTATGTTGCTATTGACACAAAGTGAAATCCAGTCCATGTAATAATGAAGTGCAAACTTACCAGGTGGTTATACTCAATACACGATCTCAATGAAAAGTCTAGGAGAGTGACGGATACGGATTTGCCGTCTACCGGGATGAATAAAAGCAACCCTCTGTTATGCTGACTTTGACGGTGGAGTCTCTGTTCCACAATGCCGCTAATCGGAATTCTTTTCGCTTGGCCGAAGAGATTGGCGAGACACACAGACGGCGGCAAGGTTCTTCCTGAAGACTTAACTTGAGCTGGGAAGATGGGAGATGTGGAAGGCGGAATTAAGGATGAGGAAATGCGAGTTGAGATGTCCTATCAGTGAAACGCACGAGTGAGCACGGACTTTCATCGAGCACGATCGATAGTACTCCGCTCAATCTCCAGGACTGCGCAAAGTCAACATCATCATTGGAAAGTCTTCAAAAATGACAGCAAAACTTATCGATTTCACAGGGCTTTCCTTCAAGAGTTAGTCATATGTACTAACATTGTACTAACTGGATCTGCGGATAATCTTTCTTTGTAGACGAAATCGTGGACTGCGTTATCGGTATTTTCACGAGGTAGGTGAGTATCTGAGGGGTTTCCTTCCCTTGCAATCAGCATTCAGTTTTGAGTAAGTCCGGCTCATTCACTCACTCTGGCTCGTCCTCTGTTCTCGATCACCCCGAATGATGCGAAGTTAGTCAACACCCACCCCCCCCCCCGCGGCCCCCCAAAAAGAAATCGAGCCGCTTCACCATCAACGGCGTTGATATCTCTGACCAACTCCATGGGCTGAAACACCGTACCTAACCCCGTTCAACGCTCCTTGCTCGAACAGTCCGGATCAACTTGCCTTAGTGGACTGTAAGCCTTCCTATTTCCCCCAGACATAGCTACGTGTTACACGACACGAACGGGCGAAGAGATACCTGCCGCTTGATCAGCCACACCGTCTCCGCACCATCGAACCTCAACGACCCAGGCCCGACCAATCGTTCCGAACCTCACAGAGCTCTAATTCGCCTGCACCGCGTACGAGCATCTCTACAAGACTTTCTCCAGCAGCATAGAAGAATCGGCGTAACGTGATGACGGATGAGCCGTCCATGGTGCAAGGGATGCTGTCCCAGTCAGAGGCGCGAGTACTCCCAGCAGACGAGTCGCACCTTCGACGATTTTCCGGCTCAATGAATGTCTCGTGAGAGCAGATAGGTGGTGTATAGCGGTAGGCACCTCGCATCTTACCCGTCTTTGCTATCAAGTGAAGAGAAGGGCGAGTCGATCCAACCGTTGCGCTACCCGGGTAGATGTGGCTTTGATCATACGGTCTGGATACCAAAGCCCTGTCATCTGAGACGACCTCCGGACACGCTAATCCAAAATCTCCGACCACAGGTCGGCAGAAACTGCGTAAACATCTCATTTCAGTCCGTCGTCAACAGTAAGTACCCAGCAGGTATTCTAGTTGGCACCACAGCCATTCCAAATGCCACTCGGTGAGGCTCGTGTCGAAGCCGAGTGTGCTGCATCTTGAGCATGTCGGCCCTGGCGTAGACGCAACGCGCGACGCCGGAGCAGGGAAGAGACGTGCGTACTGCGAGGGCTCTAGATAGGGTCCGCTGGAGGCAAAGTCCGCCCAGTACCACAAGGGCTCACTCGGTTCGAAGGACTGAGTGACAGCATCAGAACAGGGTCTTGATCGAAATCTTCGATGTGCTCTCTAGGGTCTGAAGCCGTATGCCCTGACTCGTATTGTTGTTCCCTAACCAGCTTGACGTTTTTACAGGACGTCTCTGGGGTGACTTGCAGAAGACACGCATTACGGTTGGGTCTTATACACCGAAGGTATGCCGCAACAGTTGATATCAGCGGCGTGTCTGAGAGAGATGAAGCACAAGAAGTCCTTGATATGGCCGATCTACTGCGAGCGATTGTCGCCAGTTCAGGAACTTGATTCCGCAATCGGCCCGTCTGTTGTCAATCATCAATGAGCAAGGCAGTCAAGGTGAACTGTATCTCACTTCATGCCTCATAAATTGACTAGATAACGGTGATGGCCTGGAATATTGTCATTTGTTCTCAAAGAGGATCCTGCCTAGATTCGAAGGCAATAGCAGCGAAACACTCATTTTCAATGGTAGAGACGAACAGTGTAGTCCCAAAAAGAAGAGGATGTCGATGATGACCGCTTGGCGGCAGAAGCCATAGAAGACTTCCCCCCACCCTCTCACTCACTCAGAACCTCGGACACATCTAGCGAGTGAGTTAGCTGAGCAGCGGTGAAGCGTCAAGCAACACCAGATCTCGGTGACGAATACTTTTCGCCCAAAAAGCACTAAATTTCCTGAAATCTAAACAAGGCTAGAGTCCTCCCCACATTGCTCTCTGCAAGACCGCATTTCCTTTCCTTCCGCAGCCAACGCTGATCATGAATCACAAATCGCTCGAGCACGTAGGGTGAGCACCTGAAACTCAACCAAACAATGCGGAAGCATCATTAACGCATGCCGGACCGCCCCACCTCGCCGCTCTGCTGAGCAATTTGCTGTTGCGCGGCGGCGACAGCGGCATTGACCAAGCCATGAATAGGGCCCTGCCTGCGACCTTGACGGCCACCAGGGTGAAAGATGGCGCCATGCGAATTTCCCTTCCACGGGCGAGACATGATCGGACCACGCTGAGAAGCAGGGACCACGTTGGTTGTCCACCCGGTGACGAGGTAGATTAGAACCACGGCGAACTCCATGGCGACGGCCATGATGGCGAAGATGGCAACCGAACCCGTCAGGAGGTTGAATTCCTGGAAATGCGTCAGAGCGGCGAGGGTGGAGTAGACGAGTCTGACGAGGATGAAGGGCAGCGCAAGGATCACCGCTAGGAGGAGCCGCTTTTCGCCGCTTGCGGCCTGGGAGAGCTTGAAACCGGTGAGGAGGCTAATGAGGGTGAGGGCGACGTAGGCGAGGATGTAGAGGATGATGCCGACTTTGGAGGTGGATTGCACTTTGAAATTGTCACCTGAGCTGATGCTATTGCTGCCGCCGGCAATACTCAGGATTAGGCCGATGGTGATGAGGAGTTGGATTGTGCGGAAGTGGATGGCGCTGAGGGGGAAGGTGCTAGTTTTTTTGATTGAGTCGATGCTGTGAGAGTTCTATCAGTCTTTCGTGAAGGCGAAGGGTTTGGGGAAGGGGAAGAGGAAAGGGTTGTTTCTGGGTGAAGATATGATTACCATCGAGAAAGGAGTCCAAGTGTTGCTAGAAGCAGGGGCGAAATGCCCACAGAGTCCAGAATGATGGTGGCTTCGAATAAGCCTTGTGATTTGCTGTGGTAAGTAGCGAGCTGGCAGCACGCTCCTATGATACGGATAAGGCAGAGGATGAGTGTGAAGACCCAACCAGAGGAGCGGCCGAAGCCATGACGGTAGCAGATGTAGACTGCAATGAAGAAGGAGGGGAAGTAAAGAAACAATTCGAGGATGGAAATCCCACCACGAGCGTTAAACTTCATGGCTCTAAAGTGCAAGGTGATTCTGCAAGAAAGTCGAGTCAAGCGCAGTGCGATGAGGGACGATGAGGATGATAGCAGTGGGACGGAGGAGTTGGGAATACCAATCCTTTATAGTGCATGCTTGAGAGGATTTTTTCAAGACACAGTGATTATCTTGGGATACTCATTGAAACATATCAATTCGCCTACCTGCGCATAACTACCTTGATGAGGCCATCATGTCGCCCAATGGTCCTCATGCTCGAATATAACGATTTAAAACGAGCAGCATGCTCTTTTCGACGCATGGACATGTTAGTGAGAGACCCAGGCTCTTTTCTCAGAAGACAGCAAACAGCTGCGGTCTACATCGCCGCAGTCCCACGGATGCATCGTAAGGAGGATATGAGGTGAGACAACTGGAGGCGCGATGATTGTGATGCAGACACTGCCAAGCCGTCTAGCTTAATTAGGAATGCACCTCGCCGGTAATAAAACGATATATAAGCAAGCCAAGGGGCCAGTATCTATTCAACGACTGCTTCTGAGATGGAGATGTGATTGTGTGGTCCTGCTTTGCTGCATGCTTACAGAGCCAACGCTTCGGAGCCGCCGCTTCGTGACTCATCTACGCAATGTTGCGTGCGAGAATGACGTACGAGTACACATCAGAGAGGATTAGCAGTAGTAGTTCTTAAAAGATTGATTCAAAAGGTATTGCGCAGTGAACACAGAAGTCGAGTGGTCGACACCAAAAGTCCCCACAGCGCTGGAGTAGTACCAGCCCTAACCCTACACTACTCTCGAAAGGGGCACATTTCTGATACAATCCTATCTGCCGCCATACCCTGCCCGTCAAAACTTTCGCACAACGCTCATGCTATATTATTGAGTTATAGAAAGTAGATACACGTATTCAAAGTACTTAGTAAGGCCAGTACCTCTTCAATTAGCTTTAGGGGACGCCCATATCCCTATAACCATGCCGAATAAAGCCAGCTAGCCTTAATAGGACTATAACAGCCACGATTTCAAGGAACACGCATTTATACTAAAGTTGTCGATGAACACTATACTAAAAATAATAGACGAAGGCTAAAAACCATTAATAGATGAAGTAGCTGCTACTTTTAAGGCGGCGGTAGCATTTATAGAAAGAGCGAACGATAAATCTAAAATCTAGATAATCTTAGATGAAGTACGCAAACTAGCTATTAACTTAAGCAACCGAGATAGTAATATAAAGGAAAAGATTATACATATTAAGCATTAGACAGCTAGTCTGAAAAGTAATATATCAACAACTAGCTACGCCAGCGTACTAGGCCGATTCTCGATATCCTCCTCCACTACCGAAGGAATTTCTATTATATTACTAACAATATCGAAATAAGACTAAATATTATATAATAAGCTAAATGAGATTATTATAAAGCTATAAGACGAGACAGCAAGTAAAGTATTAAAGAAAAAGACATCGAGCGAGATAACTACGATGATTAATAGATATATAAAGAGTATAAATATTATAAGAAAATCTATTAGAACGGCTAGAAGGCTAGCGAATAGCGATATATATATTATAGCTATAAATAAGAAGAAGGCGAATAAACTAAGAAAAAGTAAGGATTAAACTCTAAAGATAAGTAACAGCGCGAGAGTAATTACTAAAACGTATAGCCTTCTACTTTATAGAGTAAGAATTAATATATTTAATATTAAAGATATAATTACGATAATTAAAAGAATTCAAAATGAGAATATTAATACGCTAAGCCTCGATATAGTATAGCTAGACTAGTTCAACGCGAATAAAGAGAATTATAATAAGAGTTTATTAATTATTAAATTAATATCTCTAGAGAAAGAAAATAGAGTATTAAAAGAAGGCCTAGTTATCGGTTTAGAACTATATAGTTATTACGTCTATAACAAATAGTATAGATTAAAGTAATACTTCATATACTAGAAATACGATTACCTATCGACTATATGCCCTAAAAAGAATTACTTAGTATACGAGAAATGCTTAGAGGAGTATCATCATAAAGAATATATGGCCGATACTCGCAAATGCCCGGTTTGCGAGGGATTATATAAAGCTTAAAATAAGATATATATAGTAAAGAGAGGGAGATAGCGAGAATAAGAATGGCGAGATAATAGATTCCTTTATGATTTATAACAACGAAGGAGGCATCGATTAGCTATTAAATAAGCGATTAATCAAGTAATTACTTTTAGAATACGTCTAATCGTAGGCGAAATAAGAAATTTTTTTTAAGGCTGATATTTACGCGCGGTAGGCTAGTAGATAGAGGTAGGATAATTAGCAGAGGAGAAATTAGAGGGCCAGACCTCGAAAGAACTACTACACCGAATCTTTAGTCGAATAAAAGAAGATATACTTTTATATCATTAATAAGGGCCTTACTTAGAAATAGATCGCTCTTCAAAGTAGTAGATGAAGCTAAACGATATAAGAATAATATAGCGATAGAGGAAATTAATAATCTCGAGAACGATAGATAGCCCCTAAGTTAAAAGAGTGATAATAAGAGAATTATAATCTCCGTTAATGGGAATAAAAAGAGATATATTCGGTTTATCGATAACTAAGAAAAGGAGAATACTTAGAAAGGGGATATGAATTCTATGAATTAGGCGGAGCGAGTAAGTAACACTAATAATAATATCGAGAAATAATAGTATATCTTAGTTAGCTATTAATACTATAATATAATATAAGGAAATTCAAAACGATTATAGTAGAACTCTTCGATAATAAAAAGATCTATAACATCGATATAGTAGCAATTTAGAAGCCCTGAAGAAACACTAATATAAATACGTCGTATTATTTTCTAAAGGATAGATTTAACTTAATCTACCCCTATTATAATAATATATAAGTATACTTCTATATTAATAAGAGAATATCACTAAAGCAATAATATCTATTATATTACTTACCGAACCTCTACACTCTTAATATCAAGTTCGAAAATAATAGAATTATACGTATATATAACATCTATAACCTCGACGATTAATAAATAAACGGACTTGACGAATTATATAAGACGCTTACGAAGTCTAAGAATAACGAATAGATTATACTAGGCGACTTTAATCTTTACTATACAATATAGAGGGAATCGAATACTCGTATTGATAAGAGAGTAGAAGAACTAATACTTATAGCGAAAGAATTCGCTATAAAATAAGCATTACTAATAGAAATAATAATATATAAAGAAAACTATTAAATAATAATAGATTTACTATTCGCTACTCTAGTATTAATAACAAATATCATTAACTATAATATCGGAAATAATTTTAAAAGCGGATTTAACTATCTTCTAATTCTTATAAAGCTTAAGCTGGCCGTAATAAAGTTAGCATCAACAATATACCGAAACTTTAACAAACTAAACGCCGAGGTTCTAAGAGAGATACTCGCTAAAGTTATAATATCGAAAGAGTATCTAATTAATCTCTAGAGGAATAGTAAAAACCTTATTAACGATAGTATTAATTATTAAGTAATAACTATTATTAACTCTATTTAAGCGGCTATAAAGGAGTTTACTTTAATTATCAAATTATCGCTATAGTCTAAATCGAGATTTACGCTAGAATATAAGAAAGTATAAAAGCGTTATAAATCGCTAAAAAGAAGCTAGAGAACAACGCTCTTAAAGAAAGTATAAGATAAATATAAAGTCGTTAAGAACTTTAAAAATAACCTAATTAAAAGAACTATTAGAAAGGCGTTTAGAGAGTTCGTAATAGAGGTATATAAGTCGCCGTAAATAATATGAAAAAAGATTAAGTAGGCTAGAAAACAACTTATAATATAGGCGTGTCTTTCTTCGCTATTTGATAAAGATAAATGAGAATATAACGAATCAGGCCCGAAGGCAGATCTTCTTATAAGAACATTCTTTCCACCACCGATATAGGCGAATTTAGATGATATTAGCGTCGATACGACGTACTTATAAACTTATCTAATAGGTACAATTACTATAAATAAGATAAGAAAGACTATAACGTAGATATCGTCAAAGAGAGTATCGAGGGAGACGCGATCCTTAATCTAATTCTTAAGGAGATCCTAAAGCCATTACTCTCTTATCTATATAGAATATTTAATATATATATAACGAACGACTACTACTTAGAGTACTTTAGGATATTAATAATAATTATCCTTTCGAAGTCGAATAAAAACTACTTAATTTCTAAAGAATATCGGCTAATAGCTCTACTTAACACTATAGAAAAGATAATAAAATTTATTCTTACTAGAAGAATAGCGTATCTTGCGAAGATATATAAACTTCTACTAATCACATATATGGGAGGCCGTAGATTACGATTATATGAATATGGCATCCACTATCTTCTAGAAAGAATATATTAGACCTAGAACTCTAATAAAGTAACCACGATATTACTACTAGACATTTCAGGTATATATAATAAAGTCTCTTATTCTCGACTACTCTATAATCTTCGAAAGCGAAAAATCGATATAAGAGTAGTTAATTAGATAGAATTATTCTTATTTAATAGAATAATAATACTAAAAATAAGCGAATACTCCACATTAAAGACTTTCATAGCAATCGAAATTTCTTAAGAATCACCGCTATCGCCTATACTCTACCTCTTCTATAACTTAGATCTTATTAATAAATATAATAATCGCGCTGACTTAGAAACGATAGTTATCAACTTCATAGATGATATAAATCTTCTAATAGTAAAAGACTCCACCGAGGAAAACTATAACGCACTTTATAAAATCCACGATTGAAGTTTATATAAAGTGGGCGTTATAATATAAATCGAAGTTTGATCTCAATAAATATCAACTACTATACCTTGATAGAAAATAGAGATTTAGCTTAAATTATCTCCTATAACTTAATAAGAAATAATATATTAAAGCGAGACGCTTTATTCGCTATCTAGGAGTCAAAATCGACTTTAAACTTCTATAAAACTAT